CTGAGTATTTAGTAAAGTATGATTTCTTGATTTTTAAAGAAGAAAAGATATTTTTCTTTACATTTGTAATACTGGTGACAAGAAACATATTTTCAATGTAATTTACATGTTTGTGACTGGTATAGACAAGTATCAGATGACCAAGAAGAATGAAATGGTGCAATGAATTATAAGTAATATAATTTCTTATTATACAAAGTCTCACATTAAAAATGGCATTGAAATACTCATACACCAATTATGCATATAATTCATATGATTTGTGTAATTTGAACTTATTTCATGCAGCTACAAAACAATATATCTGCCACTATTTACCTGTAAAATTAATATTCAGCCCATGGACTGAGTTTAAGTTTAATTCTTCTTAATTTCATCTTTTTAGATTCAGCACAGTGAAGAAGAATTGGTATTTATTGTGAATTCTAGTTCTAATATAGTTAGACTGAAAAATGGACCACAATCACATGACAGAACTTAATCACCTCACAGATGAAGAAGAGAAAACTAACATAGTTTCATTCAAATGAACAGGTATTTATCCCTGGTGATAATAGTTTTTGTTTTAAATAGAATGAAGATGAAGAAGTCAGCAGGGTTGATCCCTTCTGAGGGATGCAATGGGCAAATCAATTCTTCACCTCTTTTCTAGATAAGGGTGGTTTGTTGCTAATCATTAGCTTCTGCTGTGTCTCCTGGTCTGTAACTTTACTACAGCTCTACCTGAAATTTCCTCCCTATAATTGTCTGTATCCAAAACTGTTAAGACACCAATTACAGAATTAGGGGGCCATTCCATCATGATATCATACTAACTAATTAATCTGTTAAGAATCTCATTTCTAAATAAAATCACATATTAGTAGTATAGGTTAAAACATCTGCATATATGTATATATTTTATTTATGTATAAGTATACATAAATATTTATTTATAAATAAGATTCAACCCTTAATGGACATAAAAATTTATTTCAGATAACTTTGAATAGCTGCCTTACAATTGAGTAAATTCCTATTTGGTAACATATTCAGAAAACCTTCTACTATCCTACTCCATCATCCTAAAATTATTGTTTTATCTTTAGTTTTCATAGAGAAGTGATCTAAGCATTAAATAACATCACACACATTATATTCTCTGTCTAGAATACTCGCACTGCAAATGTTTCCTTACTTAGTAAAACTATTTGTTATGTTGATACGTATGAAGTCATCATGTTCTCTATGCCTAAATTCTGATGTGAGCAAGCACTTTCATTTTTAAGACAGAGCTATTGTCATCCCTTGCTAAAAATATCATAAACATATTCTAGTTATTACAAAGGAGGGAAAACATACAGCCGACATTTCTTTGGGCCTGGCTTGCTTCACTTAATATAATTTTTTCCCAGGTCTTTCCATTTCCTTACTAATGGGGCAATGTTACACTCTCAGATGCTGGGAGTTCTTATACCCTTAACTCTTGCTTATTTTTGTGTTCTCTTATGTGGCTTCAAGTTGCCTGACAGAAGGAAATGTATCTGTTTCTCATGAATGTACTTCCATTGTATGGTAACTCTTCACATGACACTTGTTAATCTTCACACATTAATTGTATGAACATGACAAGCTTTATATAAACAAATGACTAGAGTATAGTGTTAGAGCCAGTGAGTGGCTAATCCCAGAGATGGTATAGTAACTATATTCATGTTCCTCCTTTTTGTTCAACATATATTTTAACTGAAATGACCTTGATGAATACCAATGTCTATCAAATTTCTCCCTCTATCAGAATAAATAGGAAAAAAGAAAGAATGCAAGAGGAAATAAAAAGAAAAAAACTAACAGTTTCCTTCAAGTGAATGGATATTGATGCCTGGAGAAGATAGTTTTTATTTTTAACACTTATGAGTAACTGAAAAAGAGATCATTTGAGAAATGTATGTCTCCCCTATGTTCAAAGTTTCCATCCTTCATTTAATCAGGCCTATTTTTGAAAATTTTACCTGTGCATTTCAAATTTTGTAAGGCATTTGAAGTGTAACACAAAGCAGTTTAAAGGTAATTATAACTCAATACAGTTCCTTCAAGGTCAGACTTCAAGTAATTTTAGAACAATTATTTGCTATCATAAAATCTGCACTATATAATTAATAATTTAGCTAGGTTAAACATTATGTTGTTCTCCATAAAAGCCTTATGACCTCTTCCAGACTAAAAGCTCCATAAAAATAGAATGCACTACTTAGATTTCTGATTTGCTACACTCTTGCACCTGCTGAGTACACAGGCAAACTCAGAGCAAAGCCTATTAGGCCTCCTGCCCTGTCACTCTCCCCATTCTTCCCTCTAAGCCAGGCATACACTCACCAGCAGGCTCTGCTTTGCACATGTCAAAAGCTTTATCTCTTGGAGGCAATATCCAGTTTCTCTCATCTCCCTAACAAAACCTTCCCCCAAATATCTAGGCAGTAGGTGCCTAATACAATAGTATTTTATTGTAGACCAAGGTTTTATTGATGGCATGCTCTAAAGTTATTTGTTCTGTCTTGTTTGTGCTCATACTAGCTTTTCCAAAAGGCAGTATGGGACACTCATTGTTGACCCATTGCTTCTCTCAACTGGAGCTGACAATTGCCGTGTCCTCAATTGCTCAGAATGGTGAATGTACACGCAATTGTAAGCTCTCAGTGAACATTTGTTGAATGAATATATTCAAGATAAAAATAAATAAAATGAAAACTACAAATACTTGCATGAATTCATCAAATACTTTTAATCAAACTGTTGAGAGTCAAAATGACATATAGATTATGTTATTAATGAGCAGCAACAATAAAAAATGTGCTATTTGGCTGTTACACTGGTTACATTGTCAGACAAAGTAACCTGACATTACAGTGCAAAAACAGAACAAATCATTTGTGATTTGTCATGAGCAGGTTATTTCCTGTGCCAGCCCAAGTTGGCTATACATTTCATATTTCAAAGTGACTCAGACGAAATAAAGGCCTTTCAGGAAAACATGGCAGTAGACATTGCAATAACAACCCATTATACAAATACCAATGTGCTGTGTACAAGATAACTGTTAGCAATGACATTGTTGTTGAGTTTATTTTGCTATCTTAGCCTTCACTGAGCATATTGGAATAAAGAGTAAGAATTCTGACTCATCAAATCAAAATGAGTTTATTTTTGGAGGTTTCAAGTTTTCCCTATCGTTCCTCTCTTAAATGAGGTTGAAATAAAGAATTCCCAATAATTCTGACTTTTATTTGTCATTATTTAGATGGGAAATCTACTTCTATTTTATAGATTATTTAATCTTAAAACGATTTCAGTAATATCAAACAGAAATACCCAAGTCAAGTAAGAAAAAATTCTCTTCATCTCTTTCTTTTTTATTCTTATTAAGTGATATTCAGAAGACATCAAGAAAATGTGACTTTATTGTGTACAAAGGAAAACACTATTAAAGATACCATTATAGTTTTGTGCACTAAAGCATTTAGGAAACATAAAAATATGATGATTTAAGTATAAATAAATCAGAACAGCTGAAATTACATTTCACTTCCAGTGTTTACAAATAAAGGGATTTTACAATAGGTAAAATTCTCATGCCTTCTGTAGGTATTCCACTGTAATTGGAAAATTAAATATTCGTTTTAAATTGTCTTGCAGAAGAAGATAGATTATCGAATAAGTCCTTTCCTATGTGAGTTTCTATTTTAATAATCTAAAGTAAGATATTTTAGAAACTTCCTGGTCAAATATCTGCCAGTTTGAAACTAGGGAGAGAGAATTACCTTGATAAAAAATTACTTTATAAATAATTGGGTTGTTCTCAGAATACTCCGTATTACTTTACTAAAAGTTCATGCTACCAGTATATGTCAAAATATAATGATACTTCAAACAAGAAAAATGTCATAGCAGTTACCTAGCAGTTTCTTATTTCTGATATTTCATATGAACAAATTATCCTCAATTATTATAGCAGAAGGTATAAGCCACAGCAAATATTAACATGGTGATATTAATTGAATTATATGCATTTAATCCTCTGAAAAAATAGCAGGCATAATTTTATTAGAAGTGGTCATTAATAGTACCGGTTCATATAACTTCCCCAGTTATTTTACTAAAGAGAAAAATTAATTATTTGCTTTTGTTAGTATTTAAAATAATACTAAAAATTTTTGCTCTCCATATTGAGGAAAGCATGAGTTTGTCGCTCAGGTTCTCAGAGCCTATTCTTTATAGACTTCCCACTGTCTTTATTATATGGCTGTCTAATCGAATGCTCCAAGGCTTCTCAACTCAGTATCAAAATTATATTTATTATAAACTACAAAGAAATTAAAATAGAATTTTTTTATTTGTAGTTGTTAATAGTTTGACTTTTAGAGAGCTGGAAATTCTAAGACACACATTTAACCAAAATTAAAGTACTATTTCATATGCGGGCATAATTTTCTTCATAATCAAATAATAGTAGCAAGTATGGTGTTAGATGATTTGTTCCTATTTTGTAGGGAACTACAAGAAATAAATTAAAAATTTCAACACAAAGAAATGCATAATGTTTTGGGGAATGGGGATACTAATTTCCTTGTTTTGGTCTTTACACATCATGTATAATACAACTTCATGCACTGTACCTCAAAAACATGAGTGATAAATGTAACTTTTATGTGTGCCAGAACTGGAGCTTGACTCAAGGCTTCATATGCTTATTTTTTCAAGCAGGGTTGATGCCCTATGACTGGGCCGACATCTATACTTCAGACTTTTTTCTGCTTAATTCAAAATGAGACTCATGGTCTTTCCTACACATGCTGGCTATGTAGTCTCCTATGTAGCTCAGATTGTAGGCACAAGCCACTGGTCCCAGGCTTTCTTTCACCTTTTTAATTGGTAAATTATTTCTTTTTCTTTCCTTCCTTTTTACTGTAAAGGTGATGTACAAAGGGGTTACCGTTACATAAGTAAGGAAATGAGTAAAATTCTTTTTTTTAAAAAAAGACACATTTATTCAGCGTCATGATCAGACTATTACATTTAGCAATCAACAGCATGGGTGAAAAAAAAAAAGAAAAAAAAGTCTACATTAAAACCCTTTTGTTGGAATGCTTTACACTTTCCACAGAATAGAAACTAAAATAACCTGTTATACAATTAGTCACAAATACAGTCCTCGAGTTTTTTGCCCATACACATGAGTATTGTCTAAAACATGCCTTCTTTGTAGCAGCTAGCCCTGCCACCACTGTACTTGGCTGAGTTCACAAATCTGTTGTAACCTGTAGCTTCCCTGTCACTTCTCTGGCTCTCCTCTCCTGCTAAGCTTTGTGTCCTGGCAGTAATTAAAACCTCCTTCCACTGCATAGCTACTGCTGCTGCTGGAACCACCATAGCCACCTTGGTTTCGTGGTTTGGCGAAGTATTGGCCTCCACCACCATAGGGGCCAGAGCTTCTGCCCCCAAAATTTCCTCCCTTCATGGGTCCAAAATTTGAAGACTGATAGTTGTAATTGCCAAAATCATTGTAGCTTCCACCACCTCCAAAATTGCTACCATCATTACCAAATCCATTGTAGCCATCCCCACTACCGCCATATCCTCCACCACCACGGCTGCCACCAAAGCCACCTCGACCACTGAAGTTTCCTCCACGACCAAAATTGTCATTGCCACCAAAACCACCTCCACGACTGCCACCAAAGTTTCCAGAACCACTTCAACCTTTTTGGCTGGAAGAAGCACTAGTCATCTCTTGCTTTGATAGGGCTTTCCTTACTTCACAGTTGTGGCCATTCACTGTATGGTATTTCTGAATGACAATCTTGTCCACAGAGTCATGGTCATCAAGAGTTACAAAAGCAAAGCCTCTTTTCTTTCCACTGCCTCGATCAGTCATGATTTCAATCACTTCAATTTTGCCATATTGTTCAAAGTAATCTCGTAAATGGTGTTCTTCACTGTCTTCTTTAATGCCACCAACAAAAATCTTTTTCACAGTTAAGTGGGCACCTGGTCTCTGAGAATCTTCTCTTGAGACGGCTCTTTTTGGTTCCACGACTCTTCCATCCACTTTGTGTGGCCTTGCATTCATAGCTGCATCTACTTCCTCCACAGTGGCATAAGTTACAAACCCAAAGCCCCTGGAGCGCTTGGTGTTGGGATCTCTCATTACCACACAGTCTGTGAGGGTTCCCCATGGCCCAAAATGGCTCCTCAGACTCTCATCGGTCGTTTCAAAGCTCAGCCCTCCGATGAAGAGCTTCCGCAGCTGTTCGGGCTCCTTAGGAGTCTCGGACTTAGGGGTGGGAAGAGACACTTGAGTGATGCTTCCTCGGTCGCGTCCACGAAGAGAAAGGAGTAAGCGAAAGAGCGCATCCCAGGAAATGAGTAAAATTCTTGTCAAACATAGCTACCTGCTTCCTCATTTTCTTCTACTTACTTCTAGTGTTTTAATTTAGAATGGTTCTGGGAAAAATCTGAGCTTTCTCCTATTTCCCAGTAAAAGTCTCCAATTCTAGTTGAAGAACCAGTCAGACAATTCTGATATGCCCAAAGAATGTCCAGACTCCTTTACCATCCCTTTCTTTGTCTTTCAAGAATAGTCAATGTTATTTTTAAAAGATGACCAATTGCAGGTGCTGGTGTCTCAGACTTGTAATCCTAACTATTCAGGAGACTGATATCTGAAGATAGCCAACCCTCAGGTTGGTAAGTCCCTCAGACTTATCTCCAATTAAGGACCAGAAAAACAGAAGTGGAAATGTGGCTCAAAGTGGTGTTAACCTTGAATGAAAAAACTCAAGAACAGTGCCCAAGCCCTGAATTCAAGCACTACTAAGACAAAAAAGAAAAAGAAAAAGAAGACAAAAAAAGAACAACTTCTAATCTTCATTTCCTCAATCTATAAATGTTTTCCCCATTCCACAAGAAGCCACAGAATGCTAGAAAGTAAAAGCCAAAATAACTAAATATAAAATAACATAATCTCATTCCAAATGGGAAGCAGTGGTATTTTGAGAAGTAATGAATCATTTGATTCAAAACTAAAAAGGTTACTACAGTAATATTGCTAATTATTTTGTATAAACAAAGTTACACAATTTACTAAAATTTAAAAGATTTTGGATTTTTTTTCTTTTACTTGTAGAAACAACCAAATTGAGTCCGTCTTGAACTTGTTCATTTTCTTACAGATGTTACTGAAATTTAAAATTCACTCATTAACTAAATGCTACATGTAGAAACTAACTAGTTTAACATCATCTCTCCAGATCAAAGGGCAGTAAGTCAGGCCCAGAGGGACAAAAGATAAATTTTTTTTTCCCTTGTATGTGAAAGTAAGAGTTAGGTTATAAACTTATAAGCAAATAAGTAAATATATTAGGTGGCACATATATAAATGTATCAACTAAATTGTGATAGATTCAAAGGAGAACTCTAATAGTGCAATTCCTTAGAAAGGCAAAATCAAAATTCAACAAAATAAACCACCAGGAAGCAGGTACATGAAAGGGATGGGGCAGGACCAAAGGGGAGAGAGTAGAAGATTGAAGAGGAGAAGATTGAAAGAATGCAGTCAGGAATTCAATGTATATTCCACAAAATTAAGATGCATTGTATTCATAAAATGCTTTATTAAATGATAAATCCTTGGCACAAGTACTTAAAGATAATTTTTTTGGTCAGTTGTGGGGCTTGAACTCAGCACCTGGGCACTGTCAAGACTAGCATTCTAAAACTAGAGACACAGCTCACTTTTTGAGTGATTAATAGGAGATAAGAGTCTTATGGGGACTTTCCTGACTGGGCTGGCTTTCAACCGCAATCCGCAGATCTCAGCCTCCTGAGGAGCTAGGATGACAGACCTGAGCTGCCTGTGCCCAGCAAAAGATAATTTTTTGGGGGGTGGGTCCGGTCATGGGGCCTGAACTCTAGGCCTGGGTGCTGTGCCTGAGCTCTTCAGCTCAAGGCTAGCACTCTACCACTTGAGCCACAGCACCACTTGCAGCTTTTTTCTTTTTGCTTATGTGGTGCTGAGGAATCGAACCCAGGGCCTCATGCATCAAGGCAAGCACTCTACCACTGAGCCACCTTCCCAGCCCAAGGTAATTTTTTTTAATGCTTAAAAACTCATCTCCTCCACCAGAGGCTGCCATGCTCAGATTTTCTTTAAAGTAAATTGGAGTGGCCAAAAATTTTGCATTCTGACTGACATTTTCCAAATAAACTTCTCTATTGATAAGCAATCACTGTATTTCTGTTCAGGTCTGACAGCTATTGCAGATCTGGTACTATTGGGCTTTAAGATCCCATATTCCTTTGATTCTGGCTCTGGTTACATTTATTTTCCATATAATATGCCTAAGGCTTTCCTTGGTTTTCTACATAACTGCTTAGAACAGACTGGAAGCAAGGAGACTAGCCAGGCTGCTGCTGCAATAGAAAGTTCAACAAATTATGGAGATATTAATGAAAGTCAGGGCTAAGGTGTCAGATTTTAGCAATATTAAGGTGAAGATAATCCTGTCCCCTGGCTCTGAAAGGTACAACATTAGTTAGTCTTTGTGTGATTAAATTACTTGAGCCTTAGCAGAATGTCTACAGAGGTCAAGAACAAAGAACAAAACAACAATAGTAAAAACTGCCAACAATTGGTTAGGTCACTAACTGTTCACCCACTAAGCTAGTATGCTTAGTAATTAATAATCTACAATTGATAATCATTATAAAAAAGTGATCTCTGCTTCTACCCTACAGTCAAGTAAGTCCTACCAGAAAGCCCCCAGAAAACACTTTTTGTTCATCACTTTTGTGATAAAACTCTACTCATTAGACCCCACTAAGTACATGTTTAAAAATAGAATAATAAATTCATATTATTAAAGGCTGTGCAGTGCATCTTAAAATAGCTTTGGTAATTATAGCTGTCTTGCGGGATATGCAGCTGCTTATCATATATTATAGAGACACTGTCCCAGGGAGCTAAATGGACAGCTAGTCAAACATATGTAGCATTCTGGCGATTCCAGTTTTGTCTCCTTGCTGCATATGGTACTAATGCCAATGAAGTATTTCAATAGAGCATAATTAGGTACAACCTTGAAACAAGCATCAGCATATGAGGGGGTGCTAGACAACTATGCATTTGTAAGTAAAATACATCTGCCTAGTGCGTATCTGATACCATTTTGGGGACTACCAAGAGTGATACCATTATCCTGCAGATGACTTATTCTGGGCATTGTATCATTTATGTAAAAGAGATGGCACTTGTCCCTTAACTGAATGTCTGGTAGGTACAGATAGCTTTCAGCAGACAAAAGTTCTACAATATATTTCAGATGATCTCTGAAAAGGACGTGTGCCTCTTGGCAGCTGTAAGAGAAGCATCTGCTGCTTGATTTGTTTGTTTTTGTTTTCCTTTGATTATTTTATTCACCAAGGGAAATCCCAATTAACCAGTCATCTAAATATCATTATTATTATTGTTATGGGTGTGATTATGAGCATGCATGCTTCTAAGTTCATCCTCTGCTCTGCAAATTGGTGACTTTGTTGATTTAATAGTCTGTAGTTCTATAGTAACCTCACCTCAGCTGTCCACCACAGAATCAAATAAATTCAGTGTAATTAAAACACTATTTCAAATTAATTAGAGAGAGGCTCAAGAAGGACTAGGGTATTTTTTTCTACTTGAGATTGGGTCCTAAATGTTGGTTTTGATCTATCTATCTATTTATCTATCTATCCATCTATCTATCTATCTATTTATTTTGTGCCTGTCCTGGAACTTGAACTACTGAGCTTTATTGATGGAGGTTAATGCTGTATCACTTGAGCAATGGCTCCACTTCTAGCTTTTTGATGATTAATTTGAAGTAAGAGTCTCATGGACCTCCTGATTGGGCTGGCTTTGAAGAGCTCAGCTATCAAGCTTCTAAGTATCTAGGATTATAGGTATGCTCCACCAGTGACCAACAAAAGCCATAAATGTTTTCAAAGGTAAATTCCTCCACAATATCTACCTTATGGATAATCAGTGGCTCATTAGAGAATTTGGATTTGGACTTGTTTTGCCTAGTATTTAAAATATGACCTTGCTGAGGGCATATTGGACAAAATGTTTTAGTTTGTAATACTTTTCACAACACATTTAAGTTCTAGTAATATAACTTCTAGATTTTTTTCATGAAGATAAAATTTAAAATAAGTGAAAAATATATTGAAAAATAAAACTTTCCACTTACATGATAGTTTAATCACATAAAAGAAGCAAGACAAATGAGAAAATTCTAATAATAACAATGCATTCACTATAAAACAAAAGAATTTAAATTGCATTAGAAGAAAGAAGGAAGATAATTATGATTTCCCTGTGTAAATTGGTGCATTTTTGAGTCTAGATTAACTCTTTTGAATGTGTTATTTTAAAGTGTTAGTACACCAAAATTTCCTTTTCATCACTAAGGAAACTGAGGCATTGGAAAGATGGATATATTGCTTATAATAATTATTATTGGGGACATTTATTTGGGGGGGACGATCAGATAAATGATGTAGTAGAAACTGAGTATAGAGAAGCGAGATCCAGACAGTTAAGAGCAGAAAAGGCAAAGTATCTCATTTATTTGTTCATTAATTTATCATCAGCTTCCTCTCCTGCAGGCTGAATATATACATATAGGACTAAATTTGACCACTGTGAGAAAAAGCCTAAAGAACTTACTGCAATGCTGGATACAGGGGAAATTGTTCTTATATTTTTGACAGACAAAAAAATTTGAATTTTCACTGAATTTGATGTTGGTATAACTTGGAGTGGGGAAGGGAAAAAACAACTTGTTTAAATACAGATACAGGTGGACCCATTGCAACAATGAGATGTACAAGATGCTATGTCAACAAATGAACTTTACAACTTTGGCTGGAGGGGGCGGGGTGTGAGATGAGAGGGCAGGATGGTAAGGGGAAACAAAGGAGGAGGCAACAATACTTGAAAAGAAATGTACTCATTACCTTGCTCATATAATTGTAACCCTTCTGTATGGTATTTTTACAAAAAACTTACTAATAATAAAAAATGTTGAATTTTCATGCACAGTCAATGTTAGGACTCAGAGTATCTTCTTAAAATTTCAGAGCTGTTCTTTAAAACAAGATGACATTTTCTTTAAAAGTCACTGGTAGGAACTAAACCAAAACAATTTAATGTCATTTATAGAAAATTCACCTGCTTAAAAGAAAATTAAGGAACCTCTAGTAAATTATATCCAAGATGAAACACAGTCCAAAGAA